TTCTTCTTCTTATTATTATTATTACTATTATTATTATTATTACTACTACTACTATTATTATAGCTATATATTTATTATATTTATTTATATATTATTGTTATAGTTATATTTCCTCGATGTATATACACTCCTATTTGAATTTTATTCGATTTATTTAACAATTACGATTAATAAATCAATCAATTACATAACTATTATATTATTATAGTTTATAATTCACGACTACTTTGTCGATAATTCACGATTAAATTTATCAATTCACGATTAATTTTATCAGTAATTCACCATTAATCCATCCTCAATTCATAATTCGTAACATTAATTCACAAGTGTTTATTTTATTTTTAGCGTTAATTTCTAGTACTACTGGCGTCGTAGTCATTATTTTTATTAATATTATTTGTTATTATTATTAATATTATTTGTTATTATTATTAATACTAATTGCTATTATTATTATTTGTTATTATTATTATTGTTGTTGTTGTCCTTATTATTTCCTTATTTACCAAATAAATCCTTTCTATGCCCTGCTCGAAAAGATATCATCTTTCTGGCTTCCAAATATTTTTCTTCTCCTTGTACAAAAGACATTCACTAATATCATCATTTAGTCTTTATTAGTTTATTAATTTAATTATTTTATTAATTTATTATTTTTTTTTATTAATTTTTTATTAATTTAATTTAATTCGTTAATTATTTTATCTTTATCTATTGCACTGTACATATTCCACGCCGGTGTCGTTCATTGTCTCAATCATCTATCATATCGTATCGTATCGTATCATATCGTATCGTATCGTGTCGTGTTGTGTCGTATCATATCATATCATTTATCATATATCATATCATCTTCATATCATATATCATACCATCTCCATCTTCGTCATCGTCGTCTATATCCATGAACTAACACACACAACACACACACTCACACACACACGGCAAAACATACAAACACACACACACACACACACACACACACACACGGCAAAACATACAAACACACACACACACACACACACACACACACACACACGGCAAAACATACAAACACACACACACACGCTCACACACACACGGCAAAACATATAAACACACACACACACACACGGCAAAACATACAAACACACACACACACAACACGGCAAAACATACAAACACACACACACGGCAAAACATATTCACTTGGAGCCATGTTAAGCACCTGCTGCTAACGAGCTCCAACTGCCAGGAAAGGCTGACTATGCCAGTGTTCACTCCTTAATTCGCTAATTCATGCATTTACACACACACACAAACAAACACAAACAAACACACACACACAAACAACAAACACACACACACAAACAACAAACACACACACACAAACAAACACACACATACAAACAAACACACTCACAAACAAACAAACACACACACACAGTTACGAATCGATGGCTGGATGTAGTAAGAGTGCAGAAAAGGCCTCAGTGCAGAATAAATTCGCCGACACGATAGTATTCGTTGAGCAGTACTTGGTCAATAGTGTTATTAATTCCTGGGGTTTCTGCGATAAAGAACAAAATAAATTGACTTTTGAGGTGTGTGCTGTGTGTGTGTGTGTGTGTTTGGATTGTTTGTGTGTGTTGTGTGTGTGTTTGGATTGTTTGTGTGTTTGTGTTGTTTGTGTTGTGTGTGTGTGTGTGTGTGAGAGACGTGGCTGATTTTGTATGACTGCCTTCTGCTGTTGTTTTACTTTAATGTTCGTTTGTTCACTCCTTAACTTGTTAATTCATTCATTTACTCACTCACTCACTCATTCACTGGTAGGTCGTCAACCTCTCTCGAAATCTCATATACTTTGGCTTCTACAGCTTCAGTGACCTCCTCAGACTGACCAAAACCCTTCTGGGCATCTTGGACTGTGCCACCGAGAAGGTCAAGGCCGTTGATAGCAAGGGCGCCCTTGCCCCTGCTGTCAATAATGGTGGGTACTTATCACAGTCATCATCATCATCGTCGTCATCATCATCATATCATCATCGTTATCATCATCGTCGTCGTCATCTTCATTCTAATCATCAACCAGTGCGTATAATGATGATAATATTAATTTCACCATCCAATCACTGCTCACTTTTAAACATATGGATAAAATCTTTAGACCAAGTTGCCGATGACAATAATAATAATAACAACAACAACAACAACAACAACAACAATAATAATGATAATAATAATAATAATAATAATGCGAATAAAATCGCTTGTGAGTACAACTGAATGGTGAATGTGATGACGAAGATGACGACGATGATGATGGCAATGACGAATGAGATGTTTTATATTATAGTCATAGTAACGATCATGATTTGATGTTTTTTACTTTCTTTCATTCTTTGGTTCGTTCGTTTATTTATTTATCAATAGTGATGATATTATTCAATACATGTTAAAACTCTTTCGCATCATTCTTTCTTTCATCTCTCTCTCTCACTCTCTCTCTCTTTTTCTCTCTCTTTCTATATCTTTTTCTCTATTTTTTTTTCTCTCTCTCTCTCTCTCTCTCTTGCTTTCTTTTATTGCTTTTTTTCTTAGTATTCTTGCTCGTTTTTGTCATGTTCTGAAGAGATTGTTTGCATGTTCGTTCGCTTCATACATCGTCGGGCTTCGTCCCTCTTTTTAAAATGATTTTATTCTGATTTCAAATTTTTCTACATTACTTCTATTATTATTATTATTATTATCATTATTGTTATTATCATTATTGTTATTATTATTGTTGTTGTTAGTTATTTTTATTGTTATTATTTTATGTCATTTTTTTCGTTTTTTTTTCTGATTTAGTTTGTTAAATTTTCGTAATGGTACATTGATTTAAAAAAAAATCTATCTACTCTTTCAGGCGCTAAATTATTCATGCATTCGTTCGTTCGTTCATTCATTCGTTCATTCATTCGTTCATTCACTCATTCATTCATTCGTTCATTCATTCATTCGTTCATTCACTCATTCATTCATTCATTAATTCATTCAGCTGATAAAGTAAGTACGGAGCCGACAGGTGGTATGCTGGTTATGGAGACAAAGTTGAAAATCATTGAAATATTGCAGGTTGGTTGGTCGGTCGGTTGATTGATTGATTGGTTGGTTGATTGATTGATTGATCGATTGATTGATTGATTGATTGATTGATTGATTGATTGATTGATTGATTGATCGATTGATTGAATAATTGATTGAATAATTGATTGAATAATTGATTGAATAATTGATTGAATAATTGATTGATTTAGTTTTTCCTTCATCCATCTATCCATTCGTGCATTCATCCATTTATTTATTTATTTATTCATCCAGCCACTGTTTGTAACGTACGTACACCTTGATTACAGAATGTCGAAGCATTCATTCGTTCATTCATTCATTCATTCATTCATTCATTCATTCATTTATTCATCCATTCATTCATTCATTCATTCATTCGTGCACAGTTTATAATGAACGTACGCTTGGATTATAGAATCTCCAGCCTTCTCTCTATCTTTAAAAAGGAGTTCGACGATTTTATCAACGCCAAATCGGAAGAAGGTTATTATTATTATTTTATTATTGTTGTTTATTATTATTAATAAAAATAATATTATTATTATTATTATTAAGGTTTGGACCTCGAGGTTATTGGGGCACAGGCAGAGGAAATATTCGACGGATCGTTAGTTAATCACCGCTATCGTAAACGCCTTCAACGCTACCACTACTACCACTACTACTACTTCTACTACTACTACTGTTACTGCTACTACTTATCTTGACCATTACCTCTTACGTCATCATCTGACGTCATAATCACCACTGTGACGTCATAATTGCCACTGCGACGCCACATAATCGCCACTGTGAGGTGACAATCGCCACCCACCACTACCACTAACGCAGTTACGAATCAGGGGAGCTGGATTTGGACGAACAGGGGGGCAGACTCTTTCTCAGGGTCCTTCTCAACCTCATCATGCACAACTACCCGCAGCTCGTCAGCGGCTCCCTTCAGCTCCTTTTCAGGCATTTCAGCCAGAGGCAGGAAGTCGTACAGGCCTTCAAGCAGGTAGGTGCTGTGTGTGCTTGTGTGTGTGTGTGTGTGTGTGTGTGTATGTGGTATGTGCTAAACCACGTATAACACCACATACGTACACACCACACACACACATCCACACACACACACACACACACAACACATACGTACACACCACACACACACACATAAACACACGTAGGTCCAACTGTTAATTTCTGACACCGATGTTGAGAACTATAAGCAAATAAAATCAGACTTGGACGAGTTGAGACTTTTAGTTGAAAAATCAGAACTCTGGGTCTACAAGAAGAAAGGGTCAGACGGGGGCAGCGGGGTGGCCGCGAGCGGGGCCAAAGATAAAAAGAAAGCGGAGAATAAAGTTTGACTGATTGATTAATTTTTAGAATTTTTTTAATCAATCATGTTTGCGGCCTAGTTTTGATTGGTTGGCTCGATGGGAAACTATTCGGATGACCGATTTTTGTATGTACTTTCTTACTTGCATTAAATTTTACAAATAATATTAATAATAATAGTAATAATTATTATTATTATTATAACAATAATAATTCTTTATTATTATCGTTTTTAATGTAGGGCGGAAAGTCTGAAGATAAAAGCAAAGTAAGAAAGAGAGAAAGCTACTAATCATTTTTACCGTTCAACTTGCATCAGATAAGAGGTGGGCTTGGGAGCCAGGAATCAGGGGAGTCCCATGGTTCCTATGGGAATTGGTAAAAATTAATTCTCGGGAATGGGAGTTTTAGGGTAGGACGGGCGGAAAAATGGAAAAAATGACATCTACATGCGAAAATAAAAGCATAAATTCTTTCCTAATGGAACACATTTCAATTCCCGCCCACCTCTACATCTGATTCATTATCATAATTCATGTGTTTATTCAGTATTCATTATCACAATTCATTAATTAATTTATTCATTATCATAATTCATGTGTTTATTCAGTATTCATTATCACAATTCATTAATTAATTTATTCATTATCATAATTCATGTGTTTATTCAGTATTCATTATCACAATTCATTAATTAATTTATTCATTATCATAATTCATGTGTTTATTCAGTATTCATTATCACAATTCATTAACTAATTTATTCGTTGCCATAATTCATATTTTCATTCAGTATTCATTATCACATTTCATGTGTTTATTCAGTATTCATCATCACAATTCATTACCATAATTTATTCATCATCATAATTTATTCACACTCACAGGCCGACCCTCCCGACATTGGCCTGTTAAATGGGTCAGCCATTGACCTCAATCACGGTCCTCCAATTAACGAGCATGCCGCCAGGAACTACAAAACGATTAAAGAGATTCTCTGCCGGTACTGATTATGATTAAGATGATGATGGTGGTGGTGATGATGGTGGTGATGATGATGGTGATGATGCTGATGATGATGGTGGTTGTGGTGGTGATGATGGTGGTGATGATGATGGTGATGATGCTGATGATGATGGTGGTAGTGGTGATGCTGATGATGATGATGGCGGTGGTGATTATGGTGGTGGTGATGATGGTGGTGATGATGCTAATGATGATAACAATACGGAAATGATAGTAATGAGGACGATGATGATGATGATGATATATATTTCAATTCTCATCGCTGTTGTGTCTGCAATTTTAAGCATCTTAATCATCGTCAGCATTATCATTTTTTATTATCCATCATCATTATCCTCACCATGATAACAATACGTCATCGTCACCATCATCGTTATCATCGTCACCATCATCATTATCCTCACTATCATCATCATCGTCATCATCATCACCGTCATCACTATCATCATTACTACCACCATCATCATCATCATCATCACCACCAGACTTGCGAAGTTATGTGCGAACGGTCAAAAGGCGCGGAAACACGAGCAGAGGTTGCTCCGAAACATGGGAGCCTGCTCAGCCGTCCTTGAACTTTTGCAGATACCCTACTCCAAGGTCAATCGCGGTGATGATAATGATGACGATGATGAGGATGGTGGTGATGATGATGATGGTGGTGGTGATGATGGCTGTGTTGGTGATGATGATGGCGGTAATGGTTGTGATGATAGTACTATTATTTAAGGTGATAGCGACGATGATGAAAATGTTTTTTTTTTGTTAAGGTTTTTTTCTGTATTATATCAATATTATCATTCTCATCATCGTCATCATCGTCCTCTTGAAAACCGTCATCATCACAACCATCCTCGCCATCATCATCATCATCATTACAACCACCATCATCATCATCATCATCATTACAACCACCATCATCATCATCATCGCCACTACAGAAAGCTGACGTCAGAATGGAGGAGTTGATGCAATTGGCTCACTCCTTTTTGCAGAATTTTTGTTTACAAAATCCATCCAATCAGCTTTTACTCCATCAGAATCTCGATCTATTTTTAGTTCCTGGGGTTAGTCTGTGGGCGGAGCCTATTTTGAGGGTTTTTAATTTAGAGAGATTAAATTTCTAACTAATTTTTTCATCTCGCCAATATGCTTTTCATTCCTTTGTTTGTTCTCTTAATGTCTCGTTCATTCGTTCGCTTTTTATTCATTCTTTCATTCATTCGTTCGTTCGTTCATTCATCTATTCATGCATTCATCCATGCATGCATGTATTCATCCATCAATGCATTCATGCATTCAGTTACTGCAAGCTGAAACATGCAGGGCCATCTACCAGGATAACGTTCAGCTATGTAACGAGGTTGTCACTAATAATCTTTATGGCTCCATGGTTTAATGGTTAAGATGCTCGGCTATGCTGTTACCCTGACCGGGTTCGATTGCAAAGTGAACCCCCAGCCACTTAACACACTATCACGTGCAGTGTGTGTATGTGTGTGTCTGTGTCTGTGTGTGTGTGTGTGTGTGTGTCTGTGTGTGTGTCTGATTCACATGCGTTTGTGTGGTGTTGAGGCCTGCAAGATATTAAATTGAGAATTACAAAAAATAATAATTTTTATTATAGTAGTATATTTAATTAAAATTAATAATAATTATTATTACTACTACTACTATATAGTAGTATATTTAATTATAATTAATAATAATTATTATTATAGTGGTGTATTTATTATAATTAATAATAATTATTAACATAGTAGTGTATTTATTATAATTAATAATAATTAATATTATAGTAGTATATTTAGTTATAATTATTAATAATAATTATTATTACCATTTTTTTGACAGGTCTCGGAAAAAGTCGTACAGCATATTGTTCACTGTATTGAAACCGACAGGCGGCATATGGAATATGTGAAGTAAATGAATGAATGAATGAATGAATGAATGAATGGATGAATGAATGAATGAATGAATGGATGGATAGATGGATAGATGAAGGATGGTGAAATGAAAATAAGATTGAGTATACATCATCTTCTTACATTCCTTCCTCATCACACACACGCACACACACACACACACACGTACACACACACATACACACACGCGCATGCACACACGTACACACACACGCACGCACGCACGCGCACAGACTTCTTCAAACTATCGTGAAAACCGAAGGCGGTTACATTAGAAAATGCCAAGACCTTGTTATGTCAGAAGTTAGTCAGTTATTCATATTCAATCTAACCAATCAACCAACCAATCAACCAACTAACCAATCAATCAACCAACCAATCAACTAACCAACCAAACAACCGACCAACCAACCAATCAACCAACCAATCAACCAACCAACCGACCAATCGCAGTTAGCCAACGCTGGCGACGACGTCCTAATCTTCTACAGTGACCGCTCTTCCTTTCAGAATTTGGTGGAGATGATGAAATCGGAGAGAGAGAGGATGGACCCCTCCAGTCCCCTCACCTATCACATCCATCTCGTCCAGTTACTGGCCGCCTGCACCGAAGGTTGGGGACTGGAAAAAATTAGGGAATTTAGGGATTAGTGAAATTATGAATTAATAAATTCGGCCATTAGGGATATGATAATGATGATGTTTATAGCGATGATAATGATGATGTTTGTTCATACATTCATTCATTCATTCATTCATTCATCCATTCATTCATTCATTCATTTATCCATTCATTCATCCATTCGTTCAATCGTTCATTCATTCATCCCATTCACTTACAATTAAATGTTGAACCCAGGCAAAAACGTCTACACTGAGATCAAATGCCATTCCTTCTTGCCATTGGACGACATCGTCAAAGTAGTGACCAATGAGGATTGCATTGCTGAGGTAGTGGGCGTGGCCTAAATTGATTGGTTGACTGATTGATCGATCGATCGATCGATTGATTGATTTATTGATTTAACCTACCAACCGCCAATTATTTGATCAATCAAAACCAGTTAATTACTCGGTGATCACTTAATCAACAAATCAATCAATCAAATCAATCATTCAATCAATCGATCGATCAATCAATCAATCCAGGTAAAATCTGCCTACATAAACTTCCTGAACCACTGTTACATCGACACCGAAGTTGAAATGAAGGAGATCTATAACAGCACCCATATGTGGAGTCTCTTTGATGATTTCCTACTGGACATGGCTACGGTACTCATGATGATGATGATGATGCTGATGATGGTGATAGTGATAATGGTGGTGGTTGTGGTGATGATGATGATGATAATGATGGG